CGCGGCACCGCCCCCCCGAAATTTCATAAGCCTTCAGGTCGCCTTCGGGCATTTTCGGCCGGTGTTTGTTACCGCAATAGTTAGGAGTATAAGTCAGGAAATATTCAACATTTGTGATATTCGAGGCAACGGAAGCGAACGCAAAAGGTAATGGTCGTTATTGACAATTTTCGAAATCCGAAAGGACTTCATTTACTTCTTCCCAATAGTAAAGTTTTTCCATAACGTGCAAGGTGTATTGTGGAGAAAGTAAACGAATTGGACAATTGACACGAAACAATGCCGAATGAAGAGATTAAAAGGGAGCTCGCAAGTTGTGTATCATATCATTCTGGAATTTAAGCAGCAACATTTCTCAGCGACAGTTTTCAAATTACTGGAAAGCGATTCAGATTATTCCAGTTGAATTTTAGGTTAATGTCCAGATACGTGGACCGTCATGGCGGCACTTCCTGTTTTCCGACTGCCAGCCTCGACACCGGAGCGGTTTGCAGACGACATGTCACGTGACGACGCGGCAGCGTCAGCGGCTGTCATGGCGCCTCATCGCTGATTCCAGCAAACAAAAGGAAATAATGGGGACGCACGTTCTAACCTAACCTATTCTAATAATATAATTGGTAATAATTATGATAATTTATTAGAATAGGTTAGGTTAGGTTAGAACGTGCGTCCCCACTGTTTCCTTTCTTTTGTTTGCTGGAATCAGCGATGAGGCGCCATGACAGTCTACGTATCTGGACTTTAACCAACATAACAAAATAACGTTTTTTTTTTTACTCACCTTCGTCCGCGGTCATTCGACGACTCTGGCGCGCTTCTTCCTGTTGCTCGTCGCGCCGCTTGCTCGCTTCTTCGGCGTCGCTTCCGGGGCTGCCGGAACGGTTTCTGGCTCTTTCCATTCGGGCTCGCGTCCCGCTCCTGGATACATTTTTCGTAAATGTCCGCAGAAAATTGCGAAACGTTCGCCCGGCTTGAGACTTTCCCATTTCATATGCTTTCTGTACATAAAAGCATAGAGATAAGAATCGCGAAGTTCCTCCGTAAGTGAACAGGCAGATTTTTTTCTGTTCTTCAGAATCCCCCACAGCTTTTCGATGTTCTGCGTATGTACGCCGTCGAGCGGATTCACAAAATTTTTTGATGATTTACGGTCGCGTGTTTTATACCTATTCCTTCTAATTCGCCTATGTTGTTATATCCCTTCCATTGGTCGGTATGAATCGTAGATCCGACCGTACGAAATTGCTAACGACTCAATTTAAACTGGCTTCGGAGCGATCGTTTACAAAACACAAAAAACAGTTCTTGTCTTCTCTGCAGATTCCGCCGACCACCCACTTTGTCCCTTTTCAGTTTTCTCCCTCTTTCGTATTCACGCTTGCTTACGACCGTCTCGTCTATTTCGACGGTCTTTCCGGGGCCGCCAATTTTCAAACTCGTCAAATTAAAAAGAGGGATCATCATCGCGTGCCGAACGAAATTAGCCCAGTCGACATCGGTAGTGCGACTCACCGCGACGGCCAAACTCGACGAATTCAACGAGCCATCTATGCAAATGAGATGCCAGAGGAAAGTGAATATCGTCCGCCATGACATCTTGCTGCATTTTTCCTTGAAAGTGCCTTTGAACGCCGAAGTATTAACCTTGCACTTGCAACATCGGAAATAAACCGAACCGGTGTCTTTTCTGTAAGTTATTTTACGAACGCCGCCGTTGCACTTGTCACACTTCGCCTCTACCGGTTGCAAACCAATCTTAATCGCGAATTTTATATCGGAAAGTATCCTACCGTCGATACCCAACTCGGGATATTCAGAATCCAAACGACGAAATAAATCCGTCGACGTCACAATGTCTAAATCCTCCATCTCTGCGAAAAAGTTGAACGCAACGCCAAAAAACACAAAACAAAATAACCAACACGTCGAAAATTCGAAACGACCGCACTAGCAGAACACGCGCAGGCGCTCGCGTCGTCACGTGACATGTCGTCTGCAAACCGCTCCGGTGTCGAGGCTGGCAGTCGGAAAACAGGAAGTGCCGCCATGACGGTCCACGTATCTGGGCATTAACCGAATTTTATGGTATTAAGGAATGAGTTTGTGCTTTGCCCGAGATTACATATCTCAGGAAAACCAAACCTATCTGTGTACGTAACGAACAAAAGGATTGCTTATTACACACTTGTGATGAGTAGAAGCAGGAAAGCTGTAATGGAAGTACGAAGGAAAAGGCAATGTCTACATTAAAACTTTTCCTTGCATTAATATTGCATAGAGCAATGGTTTTCAACAATCAAATGCAGATGTTAAAATTCCGGAATGAGATGAGAACGCTTGTTGCAGCTTATTTCGATCTCATTCGATATTGGTTCGTGACAATTGTCCAATTCGTTTACTTTCTCCACACTACTTTGTATGTTATCAAAAGACTTAGTTACTATAAGTAATAGATATGTATATATCCATGGTGCGGTTTTCTTTATATTCCTTTTAAAAAATCAATTTTTCAAAAATATTTCCTCAAAATTGATGAAACTTTATGGGTTAATTGTACAGAAATAACCAGCAAAATAAAAGCTTTGTCTCTGATTAAATGCGGTCCAGGCAAAAAAAACGGTGGTTATTTCTGTACAATTAACCCATAAAGTTTCATCAATTTTGAGGAAATATTTTTGAAAAATTGATTTTTTTTAAAAAGACTTAGTTACTTCTTCAAAGAAGTAAAATGACATTGTTTCGGAATTGTTAAATTGTCCATTTGTAATCACATTGCAATGTACAGTAATCTCGATTTCGCTTTCGTCGTCTCCATTATCACAATTAATGAAGTCGGAATATAGTTACTTTCAAGTATTGCATTGTTTTAAAGAATATCCAGAACATTTAAAACTTTAAGTTTGGTGACACGTTCTGTCTTCATCTGATCTTTGAAAAGCATTCTTTGCAGCTTTGAGTGTTAATGCAAGGAGAAATTTTTATGTAGAGATTGCCTTTGCATTTGCATAGCTTGCCTTTGCATTTGCATAGCTTTCCTGTGCGTCAAGATTTCCGGATTGCCACTGTTCTCGACCCGGAAGTTGAAGTTTAATTGGTAGTTTAGAAAATATAAGGTGGAAAATGAGTGAAGTAAACAATCTTTTCTTAGAAAAGAAACAAATCATGCGGTTCGTATGGAATGGATGCCTAACTTCGACGAATATGGATTCGGAACAGTTGCTGATGCTTCCACAAAACATAAGTTGAAGTCGGTCTTCGAATCGAATGCCTGCAGCATTTGGAAAGGATCGTGATTTTTCACGCGAACTTCTGTTATTAGTGGCAACAGAATGTTTGTCGTTGAAGGTGTACAGTACATGTGACGATCGACCGACGTTTCTGTCTTCGCCGACACGTCTAGATCGTCTATATACGTATGTTTTGGTGATGTACTGTACCAGTGCACGAGGGCGACGAAGAGAAACGACGGGAAAGACGAACGCCCAGCGAACAGCGAAGCTCTGTGTGTGTGTGTGTATATATATGTATATACTGTATATACATATGGTGCGCGTTACCGAAGGATACTTGTACGCGAAAACTGGATTATAAGCGATTGTTCGAACAACATCGGGCGATCCCGTCTTCGTCGACCTCCTGGACATAGCCGAGGAGGAGGAAGGTGACCGACGGCCTTACCCCGTTCTCGCCTAAATAAGATCGGAAACGGGCTAGGCGTCGTCAGGTAGCGAAAGGAGAAGACTCTGCCGAAGGTGAGTGTAGAATCTGTTTTGTTGGCCTTTTCCATCGTCAGTTAGAGATAGCGAAATAGAAGCGTGCTCGGTTTAGATGGGAGCAGGATCTGTTTTCTTTCCGTCGTTAGTTAGATTGTGATAGAGATAACGAAATAGAAGCGCGCTCGGTATAGAGTGGCGGCGGAGAAAGCGTTGCCGAATTAGCGGTAATAATCGGGCTTTTCTTTGGTCTTTGCCGATGGAAGTGTGGTTAGAATACGGCTTGCTGCCTGTTAGACACGCAATAGGCTTAGCAGATAGAGAACAAGCAAGGTGCAACTCCCCATGGCGCTCCCCGGAAGTGGCGGTCGAAAGGTGGCGATCCTCGTGTTTAGGGAGGTTTTGGGAGTGTCTAGTAGGTTCTAAAAAACGGCAAAAAATGCCAATGTGTTTCAGCAGCTAGAAGCTTGTGCTCTCTAGGACGGAATATAGTGGTTAGGTATATATCTAGCCACTATAGGCTCAAATAAAGAGTCTATAACATGAGTGACCATATAACGAACGCTTTTCTATTGACAGTTTGTGATCACGTGACCTTAAATTGCCATTATTCTTCCAAACGCGTTAGCGAGATTGGAACGAAAGCTTCGTGGATAAAATTTATCGTATATACGTTCGTTATCTGTAAACAGTTATGTTAAATTATGGACTTATAATTATTTTACTGTATTACTTCGAATTTATTTTGTGGTAGCAAGGCTCACGAGGCCCTTGCGCCATTGGTTTTATTTTAATACTCTTTCCACCCTGTGGGCACTTAGGCCCTGTACACACTAGGCGTTTTTCAACGCGCGTTAGCTCGGCGTTCGACGAGCGTTTAGCGGAGCATGCGCACTGGCTCGGTTTGGAAATGGATGTGGAAGTGATTGCTTGTGTGTGGCTCCTCTATCGTCGCTATAAAAGACGACGGCGGAGGCAAAGAGAATTTTGGGTGCACCCAATATTACGAGATAGACTGACGCATGAAATGTTTGCGACGNATTTCTATAATGACATTAACAAAGAAATTAAATCGAAATAAATTTTCTTGTTTTAAATACATTATCTTAAAGATTTTAATTGGTCAAAACTTTATTTTATAAATTATTTTTTAATAAATTTTTAATTATTTTAATGCCTTGAATTTTAATTTTTAAGATAAAAAAAACGAAAAAAAAAAATACAATAATAAATATTTAAAATAATTGTAATTTCGATTTTAACCAATAGAGGGTTTTAGTCGTCCTCATTAATACCGGTTTTGTCGTTTGGTGTTATTGGATTACCGAGTCTTAAAAAAAATAAAAATTCTCTTTCAGCAAATAACTAAAGGAATATGATATGTGTAAAAGCGTAAAATAATCAGAAAAACATCTGTGGTAGGTTTTCTCACCTATTATAACTTATTTTAAATAAGAATAATAATAGCATGACATGAAACTATATGTGACTTAATTGATTTAGCATTTTTGGAATATTTTTCATGTTTAGAGTAATTTTTCTCATAAAATTCTTTATAATTATTGATTTTTTAAAAATAATTGTAAGTTTCTGATCAGTATTTGTTGCTGTTAAAATATTCTTTCAATCTATATTTATCTGCTCATGTGTTTTAATTATCAATTTTGAAGGGATGATTCATTAATATTTATATTAGCAGGTGTTTATTGCCATAATCTGCCAATTGATAAGTTGCTAATAGGTTGAATGTAAAATGAACTGATTTCAATGAACTTCCTATAAAAGGTTTTATTGTTGACAGAGTTTTTTGGAAGAATGCCAATTTTGGATGAAGAATAAGTGTAATTGAGGAAAAATCAATATAAATAGAATTCTTTGGAATTTGAAAATAAGTGCCTAATGTAGTTTTATCTTAAGATTATAACACTTGGGTGAATAACTAAAAATAACATATGTTTTTTGGGTGGTTGATTAAGTATTACTCATAAAAATGCCACTTAAATTCAATAGTAAATAATTTTTAAAATTTTCTGGTTTTTTTTTTTAAAGCATTGTAAAGCAATTTAAAAACTTGTTGTTTTAGCGTAATGATGGCTAATAAATAAATAAATAACTAACTAATAAAAAAGTAAACTGTTTTTGTTAAACTAGATCAGGCATGGCCAACATACGGCCCGTGTAATGGATTTATATGGCCTGTGATTAATCTTTCAATATTAGCTACTCAAGTCAGAATGGATTGGTGAAAAGTTCTAGTGCATAAAAGAAAAAAAAAAAAAGGTCAAAGAACTCACTGTGTGTTTAGAGTTAACCCTCCATTACAAATCTCTTAAGTACAGTGTAGAATGTTGATAAAGTATGATAATGTGAAAAATGTATCTGTAATCTTTATGTACAATTTAGTCTCTATGGGGTGACACCACAATGAGATCTCACACCATCTCAAAATCTTTCTAGGGCAGCCTCTGGTTTGGCCCATGAAAAAAGTTCTCTTTCCAATTTGGCCCGGGGGCAAAAACTGTTGGCCACCCCTGAACTAGCTGTACCAATTGAAAATTATATGTGAATATTTTGTCTTTTTAATTAAAATCAGTTAATAATTCCTAAAATGAACTTAATGTAATGATGAGCTAAAGAGTAGTTTCCAAGTTGGTGCTACCATCCTGTGGACAGAGGTAAATCTAGGAGTAAAAGCACGTGGGCAGTGGGTGGTGATAGATGCAATGTCCTGAATGGTGACCATAGGCAAGGGTTGGGATCGCTGAAACTCTTTCCTTTCCTCTGTTAAAACGGGTAAGATAAAACATTGTTTAGTGGTTTTCAGATGTGGAGAATAATATATGATAATTCTCCATATATTATTGTGAGGTTTGTAGAATAGTTTTTCTAAGGCTACGTCCTACGTGGCAGCATCCAACGACCTCAAGCTCGAATTTGTACGCACATCCAACTTGCGAGCGACTTCTGTCCAGAGTGGATGCGTGTTGTTTACAAAATGGCAGTGAGACAACTTTGTTGAATGCTTGCTATGGAAAATATAACAAGCATTAAAACGGTAAATTTGACAGGTAATTGTTATAACTAACTAGATACACAACGAATATAAAGAATCTTTATAGAATAATAAAGTTAAAAAAAGTTTTATTTTTAAAACATTATATTTATAAAATCAAAAATTATTAAATTATGTAAAAGATTATTAATTAAAGTACATACAACATATATACACAATTTATTTGTCATTCTGTTTTCATTCATCTACAAAATCAGCCATTTTCTTTATTGGAAGCACGAGCAGTAGAAGCGACGATCAAACTGGCTTGGTAGTAGCTGCTTCCTGCACGTGTGTGTAGAAGCATCATCTGGTGGTCGCTAAACTCAGTTACTCCAGACGCGCATATTTGCTTGAACTAGTTTGTCTGCTCTGCTTGGAAGTGCATTTGCTGGATGCTGCCATGTAGGATGTAGCCTAAGAATATTTCCAAGCCTCACTCAAGGGAAAATGGGTTAGGGGAAATTTGGTATACGTCTATGGAACTAAGAAAGTGATGGTTTGAAAAAGTTTGGGAATCGCTGAGCTATAGTGTCTCTAATTTTGGATGTCTCTTAAAAGATTATTTCTTCTTAGATGATTAAAATGTGTGATATTGTTGAGTAAGAATTAGAATGTGATTATTTCCATTTATAACATTATTTTATTAGATTTATTTGGGAGTTGATGTATTTTTGAAGAATTTGTGTGTGTTCATTGCTAGTGATAAGCAGAAATACTTATACTAGAAGTTTCTTTTGATTTTGATATTGCTTTGTTGATATGAAGTTTTTAGAATATCAGAATTTAAAGCATCTAGTTACTCTAAAGAAGTCATTCTTAAACTTTTACATTGTCTGCACTTTCTTGAATTTTTAAAATATATACTTGAAATTCTGAAAAAAAATTTAAGCTTGTTTTTTGTGATTTGAGCTGTTGAGGAATACAAAGGCATGGTTTCCTGTTTTCCATAAATCATAGACTTTCAAGGTTTTATTGGAATGGAATTTTATTTCATCTACTATTTACATTACATGTTTTGGCCATGTGTATGGCCCTTTTCAGATGTTTATTATAACTCTGTAAACCATATTACATTAAAATTGTGAAGTTTTTTTTATTTAAGGAGCTAGTTTTCCATTTTCTCATGTGTATTTTAGCATAACTTTAGGTAGAGCTTCAATGATTAAGAAAATTTATCTATGCATATTTATCAGTATGAAAAAATTTAGGTCTAGGAAACAGACTTAAAAAAAAAAAAAAAAAAAACATAATTCTAGATTAAATTTGATATTGTTTTTTACATCTTATTTAAAAAAAAAAGACTTCTTAATGAAAGTGAAAAAGTTTAACCAAAGAAAAAAATTTTGTTTTAGGTGATTTATTATAATCAAATTTAAAGCAATAATTCATTTTTTCAACATTTAAACAAATATGATAACACAAAATGACTACTGAATTTATAAAAATAGCTGAACTAATCAATGCATCTTTAACAGTGGGTGAAGTTTAAATAATGCTGACATTTCACCCAATTAATGGACATCTTCAGGCATAGACAGTTGAAAGTGGAAAGTGATGCCTGAAGATGGCCTTGTTAACTGGGTCAAAGTGCTTAGCATTATTTAAACTTTACCCACTGTTAAATATGTATTAATTAATTCAGATGAGTAGCTACAGTTTCTGGTTCATCCTTATTCTATAAAAAAATTATATAAAACTAATACGGGATATTAAGACTCTAGTTAGGTAAGTAATGACAATTTTTTTAACAAATGTTAATTAAAAGTTTATAATGAAACTAGCAGATGAGCTTGGCATTGTTTGATGAAAAAAATAACATCAAAGATTAAGATTAGTAGATTATTTCATACTTCTAACTTTTCACGAGATGTTTAAAAAAATATACAATTAATTTATAATGCAAAGTCTTGCACCTTCAAAAGTGCATGTATCCAGATTAAGAATCACTGCTCTAGAATATTTTATTCTAGATGATAAAAATTTAAAATATTCTACATAAAATCTAGATTATTCTAGAATGTTCAGAAATGATAGGTGGATTTATTGAACTCATTTTATTTATATTTAAAAGAATTCTGTTAATATATATATAATAATATCAGTATATGAAGGATTTTGAAATATATTGTTTTGTAAAGATAAAAAAGTAAGCTGAAAAATGTTTTAAAATGTTTTAGTTCAGGATAAATCATCATGCTGAGGATTTTTGTAATATAGAAAGTTTCATTTCTCTTAAGTATAGGAAACTTGTGGCTCTGATTCTGATGAAATATAAGTAAACTGATTCATAATGAAAAATTAATCTATTTATTCATAAAAATCTTATTTTTTATGCATTAATGTTTGAGATGATATAAATTTGTTGAAGTTAAATGAAATAATTATCTTAAATATGTTGTTTCAAAAAAATTAGGGCTTTTATTAATATAATCAAAATGTTTCTGCAATATTTGTTTCTAAAAAATCATATATGGATTTTCTGTTATTTCTATGTATATTTTTAATGCAAAGTTACATGAACTTTGGTAATCTCAGTTAATGAAATGACAGATAATCATTTTGAAGTCATGCCTAATGTTATTGTTGGTCATTGTCTGGTCAACCTAATTACTCATTATATATAATGATGCCTGCCCTTTTCAGAACATTGCAATCTAATCATAGTGACATTGTTTTAGATAAAAGTATTGTTTCATACTCTTATGACAATTTACAATAAATTTTTGCTTTACCGATTCTCTCCTGAGTGCACAAAGATAATTTTAACTTACGGCATTCTTAGGGGAAATTTGATCTTAATTGGTTTTATCTTCTAAGTCTATTTTCATGTATATTTAGAGTCAGTGACTTCACTATCCTTAACATTTAGTAAGTGTATTTTTGCATAAATGGGTTCATAATTTCAGTCATTGTAGTTATGAAAGACTTTTGATTGAACTATATTTGATAATTTGAATTCTTCATTTGGCAAAATCTGAGTTTTAATCATTATTTTTTTAGCTTGTAGTTAATTTATGTTAAATGAAATAAAACAAAAACATTAATGAATTAAAAATTAAAAAAATCAATGAATCAAATTAAAATGAGCAAAATGCTATTATACTTGCCTATAAAACGTTTTAGATATAAGTTATTTAGGAATTAGTTTACTATAGTGCTTTTTACATCTTATTTAAAAAAAAAAGACTTCTTAATGAAAGTGAAAAAGTTTAACCAAAGAAAAAAATTTTGTTTTAGATGATTTATTATAATCAAGTTTAAAGCAATAATTCATTTTTTCAACATTTAAACAAATATGATAACACAAAATGACTACTGAATTTATAAAAATCCAGCAATCCAGCTATCCAGCAATAATAAGTT